TTGTTGCCGGGCGGGCGCTGTTGGGCATGAAAGTGAGCTGCCTCAGTTCATCAGCCTCGCTGCGACGACATAGTTTTCCGAACCACGCCAATTGGTTGATCAATAACTGTGACGTGTACGGTGTTTGGCCAGATCTTTCCAATGTGGCTTTGTTTGAAACTCTCGAGATATACGGGTGTTTGACGCCCTAAATCGAACGAAGACACCGGGCTTGGAAACCGCCCAGCCTGCGCCTGTCGGCTTTGTTCAGCCAGGCACTGCTCAGCGAGTGCATTAGTTTAGCTGTGATGAGAGCTCCAAGCACTTCCAGTTTACGCTTCAGACTGATCGATGCATGCTTCCACGCCTGCGTATACATTTGGAATTCCCCCCATGCGGCGCCCAACCTTCTGCCCAACTCCTCCTTTACATTTCCACTGTCGTACGATGTCGCCCCAAGTGCTTCATCTGCGTGGTGGGAGTAATGGGTTTGCTGGACGGATCTATAACACGCAAATCACAGTTTATTTGCAACAACTGAAATTTATCCCAATGCAGCTCCATACCCATGTTCGCGCCAGCGCGTGCCATTGAGTCCAAGAGTTGTTGCAAATGCCGTTCGTTGCGCCCGACTTAAACTGTGTCGTCTGCGTATAAAAATACCGAAAGGCTCCCGGACAACAGTGATTGGGCCACGTCGTCCTGCAGGTACGTCTCCGCGTCTTTGACGAGCACAGTCATAACCATCGCAAACAAAAACGGCGAGAGCGGGCAACCTTGTGAGATACCTGGCAACTGCCCCCGTTCTTCTGACCTCCGGGGCCCGTCTGCCACGCAGAAGCGACGGGGGCCGTAGATATTCCCCCTGATTTCAAGCGTGCGCGGGGGCACTCCAAATGCAGCAAGTGCTTCGAGAAGGGCTCCCACGTTGATAGAGTCGAAAGCCTTTTTCCAATCTAGCGCCAGTAGGGCGACGCCACCATCTCGAGCGGCATGTGCTAGTTCGATGTGTCGGCGGGCTGCGTGGACGGCGTCGGCGGCGCCCTTCCTCCGTCTGAATCCACACTGCGCCCCGCTCAGTCTATCCCCCGACCCTACTTGTTGCAATCTCCGCAACAATGAGCTTGCACATAATTTGCAATTTACGCAGAGCAAACCAATCGGACGATAGTTGTCGCACTGATCCACTGGGCTTTTGTTCTTGTAGATTGTGGCAATGACTGCGCGCCGCCAGTCTTCGGGGACATCCCTCTCGCGCCATCACTGGTTGATCAGCTTCGTCGTGGCGCCCAACCCTTCGGGGTCATGCTTTAGTTTGGATATCATCGCGCCCGCCTCGCGCACTGTGACCTCGCCCTCTGTGATCGGTAATAATGGTCCCAAGGGTTGACGTGCGCTAGATGTTGCTGGGCGCACTTGCCATTGCATCCTTTCGAAATGCTCTGCCATTGTATTTGCCCTGTCCGCGCTGTCGACGAGCTCGCCGCCCAAATTTCTGAGCCTTCCTTGTTTGCGCGGCTTTGGCCGGCATGCGCGTGCAAGCGAAGTCCAAGCTCCACCAGCAATTTGCTGATCCAGCCATGCAGTTTTATCGCGTTTGACAGGCTTCCGCACAGCTTTTAGCAATGCCTTTTCCTCCTCCCAGTTCTTGTTAGTTCGCGCCACGCTTCGCTGTGCTATCAAGTCCAAGGTTCGGCTTGTGATCCATGGTTTTTGTGCCCTGGCCTCCCTGCGCGGCAGGGCCATCTGAGCTCGGGCGATCGCATTCTTCATGTTATCCCACGTCTGCTGTGCGCTACTGCTGCGGCACCGCGGGCGTTGGAGATGTTGGTGAAAGACTCTCGCACTGTATTGTCGCGAACCGCCGCCCCGTCGAATTCGCTGGCTCCTTGATGGCTGGCCGCCGGCGTCTCGAGTCCCAGGGGGCACGTCGCCAAATAATGGTCCGTTGCCAGCGCCGCTCCCCGATGACTCGCGACGCGTTTCAAAGAGGAGAGCAGCAGGCTGGCATAGCACTAAATCCACAATATCATGCGATGCCTCTGATATTTGATCCAAGGGCAGTGTCCCAGCTTCTCGGCAAGTAACTTTCTGTTCCAACGGTTGTTCCATAAATGTGTCGGCGATCACCAAATTAGCGCCCGTGCAGCACTCGAGCAGCAAGTCCCTGTTTGGGACTTCCACTACATGTAGCGCTTCTCGGCCCCACCCATGTTCACCCACTACGTGTTCGTCTCCGGCGCGAGCTTGACCAACGCGGGAGCTGAAATCTCCAAGAAGATTCTTCCCAAAATTTGCACGGCAGGTCCTGTACTCCTTATCCAAGCTGTCATAGAAAGCAGTCCTCTCCGGCAAGGGTTTGAGGTTGTGTGGATCATAAACACAAAATATCTCAATCGTATTTCCATCCATGCGAAGTTCTAGTATGCAAAATCTGTCTGAAACCTGCTTGTAAGATTGAATATGTCTACGAACACTTGGGGCGATTACAATGCCCACTCCTGCCCAAGTTGTGTCGTCTATGTTGTTGCCAGGCAAAATGAACGTGCACCCATCTTGGTCATAGATTTCAGCTTTCGATTTGCGTGTCTCTTGAATGCACATCACCCCAATATTGAGTTGTTCCAGGTGTTTACATATTTCGATCCTCTTGACCTCAACGAGCCCACTGACATTCCATGTGCCAAGTTTGAGTGGAAGGTTGCGCGGTAAGCGAGTTGTCCTGAGAATTGTCGTCTGGAGCGGGACGGTTGGTAACTTTGCCCAGGCCGTTCTGTCCAAGACGTGGCAACACGCCGCGATCTCCCGGTAAGCTGTTGTTCCGGAAGGGTGAAACTAAGCCCGCGCGCCCTTGGCACCCTCAATTCTTGTTTTTGCCTTTCCCCACCCCCTTCGGTGAGCTGGCCGCACTCCTGTCCAGGCGCTCCGTGGCCTTCTTTCGCAAGTCATCCCATTATGGTGCCTTTCGCAATTCTTCCCAAGCCTCCCAGTCGGTATCCAACCAGAGTACCTGTAGTTTGTAATTTACCACATCCACTTTTAATATTTCCTTCCCCCCAGCTTTCAGTATTCCGGCGTCGCCGTCGACCTCCAGGGATTTTTTCTCGAATCCCCATTGCGTAAGGAGATACCGAAGCCCCAGCAATACTGAAGTGGCGGTCCTCTGCTCGATTGGAGCGTCCGCGCCGCACCAAACGTGACGACTCCCGTCTTTTGGCTTTAGCGTTTCGCATGCTGCTTGAAGAATTGAGAGCGCGTTGTCTGACGACTCTTGGGATTCGAACTCGGAGAAAAACATACCTTTGAAAGGCTCTGCTGGGGGGCCTTTCTTGTAAGTCTTCAGGGCCATCTCGCACTGAGCATATGCGAGGATTTTTGCAACCCAGCGATCAGCATCGAATAGTGCCGTGCGGAAGGCCCCCAATCACGAGAGTCGCGTAGTGGATTGTCCGGTTACCGTGGATGCTCCGATCGACCTTGGTGTGGTAATTTGTCTCAGTTCTGATAGTTCCCGCTCCACTGTTTGGAACCGCTGTTCAATTGATTCTGGAATGGTTATCGGCATCGACTGTAATTCTCCGCGTAGCTCTTCGATATCGTCCTCCAAGTTCGTTTGGCGTATTTTCAAGCTCCTCCATTCCAGATTCCACTGTTGATTTAAAGTCTTTGAAATCTTTTCCAAGCGCCTGGGTAATGTTGATCATGGGTGCCATGTAGTCGCGGAACAGCTTGTTCATAGCTCCCATTGTGACTGCGGCCTCAGGGTTCCCGATGTTCTGAGGCGGTAGCTCCACGTCGACGCCGGAATATACCAAGCGCCTCGGACCACGGCACCGCTGTCTGAACTTTGTGCCATAGTCGCGCCGGGAGGGGCGTCATCCATTTCATGCAATGGGCTGCGGAGGCGCTGTTGCTTCTGAGCCTTCCCATCTTTAGGCGTACCGATTGGGTGACTCCCCGGCATGGCGATCAAAATGTTCAACCATAAGCGAGAGCAGTCAATTGGATGCGGTGTGGAAGGATAGCAGGGCTGGTAAGTGTACTCAGATGTGTGCCACTTGTGCCACCACTTGACCTTGAGCCACCCTTGACCTTGAGCCAAAATGGCTACGGGGCCCTGGGAGACACAAGTAAATAAACGCAAATAACTAGATTCCCCATATCCTCCCATATTTTCTTGGTCTTTGTATTCCCCCCCCCCACTTTCCATATTTTCCTATATTTTCCAAGGGATCGACGATGAATTGTGTCTCTGTGTGTGTGTCTTCTTTTCCCTCCTGAAACACGCCCAAGTGTTTCGAGCTTCGCGCGGATTTCCTGGATCGGCGAGGGGCCGCCCTCCCCGGCGTGCGGGGCGCGCCGGGGGGCGGCGCCGCCAAGGCGCCGCCGAGGAAGAGGGGGGGGGGGCGCACGGCGCCGACCCGACAGGTCCGCGCGGGGATGTCCGACACGCGATGCTCCTGCAGCTTGTGATTGTGTGGACGAGCGCGCTCCACTACTCTGAAGGGGCCCTGGAACACACAAATAAGTACACGCACACAAATAACAGGACTCCGCATATTTCTTCATATTTTCTGGGTTTTTGTCTCGCCCCCCACTTCCCATATCTTCCCATATTTTCTGGGGAATCGACGATTAATTGTTTGTGTGCTTTTGTTCCCTCGTGATACTTGCAAAATAACTACTCGCAGATGGCCTGGATCCGCTGCGGAGATCCACGATATAGTCGGCCCAGATTAGTAGGTCGACCCTGCCAAATCTAGGGTACCCTTGTGTCCTGTGTCTCGCGACCCATGCTTCCTACATTCCTGTGGCAATGTGGCCCTCGGAAGGGTCTTGTGTCCTTTCGCGTGTCCTGTCCAATCGAGTCCGACTGTAAATTACATCGAAGCAAATCTGTGCTTTTCGGACGTTTGCGAGCAGGCACCTTGCGAGCAGTGGAACGCGCTCGGTGATCATGCTATGGTGGGCGGAGCTTCGGACTTCAGGACTGGCCGGGCGTGCTGCCGCGAAGCGCGGGCGATGTGGCTGCCGGCATGGCGCGGGCCGTGTTTGGCCCGAGGCAGCCGCGCCGGTAACCTCTCCCTCGGAGCCGGAAGCCTCGCGCGCGTGTCGCGGCTGCGCTGCCCTTTCTTTTGCCCGACGGGGCGCCAGCGTCCACCTCGCACGTTCATGCTCCTGCCCTTTCGCGTCTGCTTCTCTTTCTTGTCGCTCTTCCTCCTCCGCCGCCATCACGACTCGTCAGCGCTCGTCCCTCCCACCCTTCCTCTCGTCCTCCTTCGTTCCTCTTCCTCTTCCTCTTCGGAGGGAGGTGGGGGATGCAGGAGGAGGGAAGGATGTTGCTGGGACGCTGCTGTCAAACGAATTGGGATCTGAAGCTGGGGAGGCTCCTCCACTACCACCTCGGGAGGGAGGAGAACGGAAAAAGGGGGAGGAGGAGGAGGAGGAGGAGGAGGATCAGTCATGCCATTCCAGTTTTTCTTGAACCTAATTTCTGTTGTAATCCTTGGTGCGTCGAGGCGGCACGGATCCAGGGACATACCTGAGCGGGGGCGCGTCGGCGCCCTGAAAACATTGATACCACCCGTGTGGTGCCAGGGCGAGGTGAGCAGGACTATCTGCGCTAGCGGTTATATAAGATGCAGCAATCAGCACAAAGCTGATTGGTTTCCCAGCAAAGGCGCTTGGGATCCCAAAAAACATTACGGGCGGTGGTGGGGCTGCTGGACGGTGAGAGGAAAAACTGCAAGCGAAAACCCTCACTCACTTCCTGAATCCCATGCTAAAGCAAACCCATCAATCATGCCATTCCAGTTTTTCTTGAACCTGATTTCTGTTGTAATCCTTGGTGTGTCGAAACGGCACGGATCCAGGGACATACCTGAGCGGGGGCGCGTCGGCGCCCTGAAAACATTGATACCACCCCAAATACGCAAAACTCGTTAGCGGTTCGAGGTACTCCAGCTCAGTCTAGCTTTCGCCCAAGGCACCACCGAAATACCGGAACAGCAGGCGGCCCCCAGTACTCTAGCAAACCCACTGTCGATGAAGATTTTGGCCAGGCAGGACCCAAATCGATAGGGATAAGCGGCCGCACGCTTGGTCCAACGGACCCCCAGAGGGTCCCCTCCAGTCAACACGATGTGGGGCTGCTTGGAGTACTCACCGGGCTTAGTTCCGTAGCTACCACACTTGAAAATCATGTTCTCGACTCCTATCAGTCCAGCGCGCCAGAGGGTCGTGGGTTTTTTCCATCTGGCCCCAAAACCACACATGTGAGTCACGACGTTCTCGACGTTGAGGCCTCGACAGAGGCCTTGAAACTCGGGGGTGGGCCAGATCAGGCTCGTCTGCGGGTTCTCGATGACCCACGGTGCGCTGCACTGAGAAGCGCAGGCACAGAACTGGGCAGTCAGCTGCATGAGGCGGGTCCCCATCTCGAGCTGTCTCCGAATATGGGTCTGAACATCTGGCAGCCCGAAGATATGTTGCTTGGAACGAATCATTGGCCTTCTCGCAATACTGCGCGTGGTACACGGGCAGGCGCAGAGCAGGCCGAGGCAGCGAGGATGTGCGATCAACCTTCGGATGCGCCGTTGTACACTGACACGTGTGACATCCCCCTGCGGGCCTTGCAAAATATCGAAAGCGAACGCATCGATCCCCCTCCGTCTCGCGGCTCGACTGAAGCTGCCACACCCGCTGAAAACTTCAATCACGAAGAAGCCTTTCCTGGCGGCACGCCTCGGTGTGCGCGAAGCTGCTTGCCCGCTCTCAGCACGGTTGCCTCGAGCTCGAGTGCGCACCTGGTGCACATGAGACGGCTGCGCTGGTCTAGCTTATTGTAGATGTCCTGTGCCAAGGCCCTTTTCTCGTACCTCCTGACCGACGCCATGCTCCTCCATCTTCCCCGACGTTGTACTTCGGCGAGGTCGAGGCGGTTGTGGAGTCGATCCAGACTGGCACCCGAGTGCCGCCCCATGTACAGGACGGGCTTCAGGTAGCTGATGCCTACCACGCCACACACGGCGATGAAGCTCGCATTCATCTGCTTCAGGCTGAAGTTCCACAGGGGGCTTCCGCTGGGGCGAGCGTCCACGCACATCATCAGTATGTCCGACAGCCAGGGGCGACTCACGATAAGGCTCTCGTCCACCGCCCCCACCTTGCTGGACTGGCCGTGCTCGGCGGGGTGCAGCAGGATGGCCGCCAACGCCATGTGCCGCTGCGACGTTGCCCTGAGCACCTGCGAGGTCTTGAGATCCAGGCACTCTCCCGGCCGCATGTAGGCGTCCACCATCAGCTGCCAGGCCAGCGCCATGCCCAGCCCCTCCATGCGCAGCAGGTTCACCGCGATCGCGGCCACCACCTCCCATGGCAGGGGTCGGCGGGTCCGCCTGGGCACCGGGCGGCGCCAGCCCCGCAGCGACCGCGTCGCCCTGGGCAGGGTCATCATACCCTTGGCATTGTACACCGGCACCACATACTGTATCGCTGCAATGAGCTTCTCCCCTGTCGACGGCGCTTGGCCCTCGAGAAAAAGCCGATCGAAGTAGCAGACCACGTGGGCGTCCAGCTCCGCCGGGCGCAGGCTGAGGTCCACGACATTCTGTTTCGTCTGGAAATCCGAGAGCAGTCGCTTGTACTGACCTCGGGTCTTCAGCGTCAGCGAGGCCTCCTCGGTGATACTGGGGCCTTCTGTCGTGTCCCGCAGCTCCCCGTGGGTGGCCAGTCGCCTCGCGGCCCGCCTCTGCTGCAACCTCGGCTCCCTCTCGCGCTCGGCCTCCTCGAGCTCCAGCAGGCCCAGGATCGGGTGACCCGGAGCTCGGGGGTTGGCCCCGACCAAGCTCGACACGTTCAGGCCGGTCTTCTGCCGCTTGCCCTCCTGCGCCTCGCTCGGCCTGCCGGGCGCCCTCGGCTGGCTGGTGGCCTGCTGGCTCTGATCTGACCTGTTCCTCGGGCGATGATGATTTGGCCGCTAAACTGGCGCTGACTGCATTGCTCTTCGTAGATGGCTCTCGCTTGCGGGAGGGTCCATCGGCAGGGTTAAGTTCAGGAGGTATCCATCGGCATACGAATCTGGATCGAGTGGCTAGAGCCCACGCTGCGGCCTTACGGTGGAGCATGAGAAGACGTGGATCTCGACACCTGCCCTTGGAGAGAGACAAAATGAGCCCGAGATTATCTCCCAATATCAACCACGAACGACCCCAATCTTTTGGATCCTGCACGGCCTGACGAATAGCTCCCAGAAAACCTCGCATCTCGGGGACATGCATCGGCTCGTACGTGAAGACGGGTTGGAATCGCTCGGCCGACCACGACGTAGACTCTACCACGTTCGCGGGCACCTCGGGGAACTCCCTATTAACGTAGACGTTGCTGAAATCGACCTCCTTATCTTCCCAGACTCCAACCCCCAGCGCCGAGACGTCCTTCAACGCGTTGGCGCGCGGGTTGAACCCTGCTGGGTCCTCGTCGTTCTTGAACCGCCACCTCTCATGCCACCTACCTACAGACTGTGCATCTCCCACCGTCCAGGCCCCCCTTACTGTAGCGCGTCCAGACTCACATGCATCATGAGCCAGCGTCCTGGGACCATGTTGGACCCAGGTCCCGGGAGGCAAAAATCAAAAGCCCTTGGATCGAGCGGAGCTCGCGGAAAACGCTCTTCCAAAGTATCCTGGGCTCCTTAAAATTTCCTCGGGCAAAGTCATAGCTAGCGCGCAGACAACTGAGGAGTTCACGTTTTAGCAAGGCTACGAACGTAAAATGGCCAATCAGCCGTTCGAGCTGGCGGCTGGTCATCGGCGGCCGCCGGCGATGGATCCACTCCAGCGCCTTCCAGAGCCTCCAGTACCGCTTGGCCGCAATGGCCACACGGCAAGGCTGCCCCTGCTGCACGACGCCCGGCATCTCCATGCTCTCGGCTGCGTCCGACTCGTCATGGGTGGCGTAGCCCGCCGCCTGCAGCGCCTCACACGCCACTCGGCGCAGCCGCGTCATCTCGCCCCTGTCGTGGCCCTCGATCAGCACGTTGTCCACGTAGACCGCGTGCAGCGCGCCCTCCTCTGGCAGGGGCGGTGGTCGAAAATCAATCGCCCGACGTCGTGGCCCCAACTCGGGTACTCCGTCGAGCACGCGTTCATGAATGCGCTGAACGATGTACAGTGCCCACTTCCAGCCCATGGGAACCACAGTCATCAGAGGATAGAGCATGGTGCCCCCGGCCAGGTACTGCCCATCCAGCTGTGTGATGCCGACCTCGCTCGCCTTCACAGCGTCCATCCCGAAGTAGGGCTGCAGCCAGGCCGGCATGCGGTGCTGGTAGAACGCGTTCTGAACGTCTCCCCCTGCATAGAAAAGTTGACGACCCTCTGGGACCTCCACCTCGGCGAAACTGCTGCCGGAGAAGAGGTGCACCTTGGGCGCGTCCACGAAATGCTGGTTGCTGCGACGGCAATCCACCGCGATGCGAATCTTGCCGTCCTTCTTCTTGACGAAGAATATCTTGATGGCCTCCTTCCGACGACGCGCCAGGCGGGAGATCCCGCGGGCGAGGCCGTCCTGGATGAAGCCGATGTAGGCGCTGCGGTCCTCCTTCAAATTGGCGTCGCCATGCAGTGTCGGCAGACCCTCGTCCTGCCGCGCCTGCTGCACCTCGCGCGGCTGCCGCAGCCACACGTCACGCTGGCCCTCTGTCAAGTACTGGAGCAAGTCCACCGGCGCGTTGGTGGCCAGGGGCACGGGAACGTTGCCTTTGGCCGGCCAGCTGACCAGGTCGCGCGAGTAGGGCCGAACAGGGGAAATCTCGTCACCATCCGTGTAGGTCGAGGGCGTGCTCCCGAGAAGCTCATCAAAGGCTTCCTTCGGAGTAAACGAATTCCCCGGCACGGGGGCACTGGCCGAGTGCAGCGCCCGCACATCACTGTAGATCAAGGCGGAGGGGCCACTCAAGTCGGCGACGGACTCCACCTCGGGCGCCTCAAACCCCGCCAGGAGGTTGATCGCGCGAATGGTATCGCACGCGGCCTCCTG